CTAAACCTGCAGTTGTCATTACGCCTTGGCCCGTGCTCTGTGTCCCCTGCTGCTGTTGCTGCTGCTGCTGCTGCTGTTGCTGCTGCTGCTGTTGCTTCCGCTGCTGCTGCTTACGGAGCTTCTCTCGCTTAAGGGGAGGCTGCTCCTGCTGGCGTTGCGCTGTCTCCTGCTGAAAAGGAGACAGTGTCTCCTTCGTGTCTGCATCTACGGCTGCTGCGTGTGTCCTTCGAGCAGCAGCATCTGCAGCAGCAGCAGCAGCAGCAGCAGCAGCAGGACTTGCAGCTGTGTTGAGTTGGGGAGGATTGCTCATCTGTTGTGTGTGTAGGTCCTGCAGCATCAGCAGCAGCTGCTTGCTGCTGCTGCTGAGGTGCTGCAGCAGGGCCCCACGCAGCGGCTTTAGTGCTTCAAGGGGCCACAGCTTGCTGCAGCCATCTTCTCCTCCAGAAGCAAAGACAGCAGCAGCAGCAGCAGCAGCAGCAGCAGCAGAATATATTTTACTTGCTGCTACGGAACGAACCCCACGGCCCCTATGCGCATCTAGGGTGTATAGGCAGGGGCCCCCCAAACACCAAACTCTAACGGTTGCATCCTCACCCCCTGACAGCAGCAGGAAACTGCAGCAAGCAGCCTGCAGCAGCAGCAACTCCAACCTCTTGCTGCTGCTGTCTGGGGTGTACTGTCCCCTCTCCTGCTGCTGCACCTGTTGCAGATGGTAATACTGCTGCTCCTGGTGCTGCAGATGATCCTGCTGATGCTGTTTTTGCTGCTCCGGACGACTCTGCTTCTGCTGCTGCTTCTGCTGCAGCTGCTGCAGCAGCAGCAGCTGCTGCTGCTGCAGTTGCTGCTGCTGCAGCAGCTGCTGCTGCACCTTCAAGAGAGGCAAAATGTTGAGGAAGCAGACACTCCAGATGCGTGATTTGTGCCCTCGCAGCACGGAGACACATTTGTAAGAAAACGGAGAAAGGGGGGCCCCCCCAGCCACGGTGGGGGGCCCCCCAGCTACGATCGGGGGGCCCCCAGCAGTACCCTGCGCTTCAGGCTGGTTGCTGCTGAGCGCATGCAGCAGCTTGTCTACTGCTGCAACAACAGCTGTTGCGGTAGGTATCGGATGATCTCCTGTTACTGCTGCCGTCGCTGCTGCTGTAGCTGCTGCTTCTGCTGCTGCTGCTGTTGCTGCTTCTGCTGCTGCTGCTGCTGCTGTTGCTGCTGCTGCTGCAGTGGGCATGCGCAGCCACAATCTTATTTCTCTATCGTCTGAGGCCGAGGCTAAGAGGGCCCCCTCAGCAGCAAACGCCAAAGCGAAGAGGCCCCCTCTGTGCCCTTTTAAGAGCTGGATTAGCACCAGGGACGCAGCAGCAGCAGCAGCAGCAGCAGCAGCAGCAGAACTGGTTGTTGTTGCTGCTGCTGCAGCTGCTGCTGTTTGGCTTGACCTCAGCAGCTCTGCTGCGTCAACTCGCAGCAGCCAAACAAACACCTCCGAGAAGGCAGTGCCTCCAGCTAGGAACAGCTGCAGCTGTTGCTGCTGCTGCTGCTGGTCCTTGCAACAGCAGCAGTTGCTGCTGCCGCAGCATCTGATGCTGCTGCTGCTACGGCAGCAGCGGCAGGAGGAGGAGCAGCAGCTGGTGCTGGTGCTGCAGCTGCAGCAGCTGCTACTGCAACTGCTGCATGTGCCTTCAGCCCCCGCAGACGGCAGCAGCAGCGCCCTTGTTGCTGCTGCTGCTTGCAGCTGCAGCGAGCCCTTGCTGCAGCGCAGCTGCAGCACCACAGCCCCAGATGTTGCATGCATTATACGCAGCAGCCCATCGGAGTAAAGTGCCAACAGATACACGCCGATGCAGCAGCCTCCTGCTGCTGCTGTTGCTGCTGCTGTTGTTGCTGCTGTTGCTGCTGTTGTTGATGATGCTGCTTCGAGGCAACAGCCTCCTGCTGCTTCTGCTGCTGCAGTTGCTTCGGTATCCGTGGGTATTGTTGCTGCTGCTGTTGCCATTGTTGCTGATTGTGCTGCTTCTGCAAATGCAGAGCGTGCTGCTGCTATTTCTGCTGCTGCTCCACCCACTGCTGCTGCTGCTGCAGCAACTGCTGCTGCTGCTGCTTCTTGGCTTCTCGGGCACCCCAAAAAAATAAACTCTGTCGTCAGCACTCTTCTTGTATCTCTCTGCATAAAAATCTGCTGCAGCCGGAGCTGCCCCCTTTCCTGTGTGGGGTGTGGGCCCCCC